GGTTTAGGGTTTAGGGTTTGAGTCAGCTTTCGGGAGCGAAGAAGGGCCGTAAGTTAGCCAGCTGGCAAGCCTAGAAGCCGCTCTTACGACGGTTTAGAGGTTACAGTAGGGCTTAGGGTTGCGGGGTTTAGGGTTTAGGGGTTTTAGGCCCTACAGCCACAACCTCACTCCGAATCTTGAAACCTACAGCCCAGATCTGCAGGTTAGGGTTCCGTCTCCATTCAATGTGGGCCTGGCCCTCGGACGGGATGTAGGGTTTAGAGTTCTGAGGACCCTAAACCCTAAACCCTAAACCCTAAACCCTAAACCCTAAACCCTAAACCGTGACCGGTCCATGTTCGGAAGGTCTCCGAGGGATGTGGGGTTGAGTCACTCTCGGCTTACGGTCTAGGGTTTAGGGTTGTAGCAAAGAGCCTGGGTGCAAAAAGGGTCCAGGGATTTCGGGTTTCGGTTTTAAGGACTAGGGTCTAGCGTCTGGCGTTTAGGGTTGAAGGACAACAGGGTCAGACAGCGCCACTGCCAAGAAGTCAGTTCTAATTGTTTTAGGGCTTGCAGCGCGACTAACAATGCCAAGCAAAATTGTCCCAACTCGTATATTCACGACAATATTTCATCCCAGATTTCGCTGGATACCATTGCCCAAATGGAGGGACGAGTGCTTTCGTGTTTCGGGTTTCCCCCAAAACGTCCGAGCCCCCACTCGGTCAGCCCACAGACAGCAAGCTCGACTTAGACAGCATAGCATGCTTGCAGGGATCCAGCTGGTTCTCAATTTATTCTCAATTCAATCCTAACCCTTGGCAACCCTAAACCCTAATCCTTAACCCTAAACCCTAAACCCTAAACCCTAAACCCTAAACCCTAAACCCTAAACCGGTCTGGGGCTTGGGGCGTTTGATTACTGCACGACAGAAGCTTAACTCCACTCCTAGGGGGCTCCTTTTGATTATAGGGTCCCTTAAAAGGGTTCTATAAGGGATCCACAATATAGTGTAAGGGAAATTATAATAGGGTTCTATGCTAGAGGCCTTAATAGTGAGAATAGGGGGGGTTCCTTTTTAAAGCCCTTTAAGTTCTGAGCCGCAAGCCCTTCCGTAAGAACAGTTATGTAACAAAGCCCCAGCATCCCGATGACCTGTGTACCTCAAGCCAAAAACCCAAAGCCCCAAGCCCGAAACCCTTAAACCCCAAATCCTGATACTGGCCCTATATGGGTAGTTCTCTCAACGAGGGCCCTTTGCGGGTCCTTTTTTATAAGGGTGTCGTACTTTTTTGGCACTTAAAAGGGATCCTAATTTAGAGAGCCACCGATATCTTCAAACCCCAGTTTTCAAGCCCTAAACCGTGAGGCCTTCAACCCTGAAATCCGCAAGCCCTCCGTGACATGTCCTACTGGCAGTACCCTGCAGACTCCTCGCAGAGTCTCTTTTAGGGTTAGGGGTTTAGGGTTTAGGGTTTAGGGTTTAGGGATTTATACCAGGAACCCTACAAAAAGCCTTAGAGCCCTATGCCCAGAAAGCGTAAACCACTCCCGACCAGGCCTTTGCCTGCCTTCTTCCCATCCTTTGCAGACCCAACTTTGCGGCGTCGCGCGACACCCAGCTCACCAAGGTTTAGGGTTTAGGGTTTAGGGTTTAGGGTTTAGGGGCTTGGAAGGGCGTTGATGCAGATTTTCTTGGATTCGTAATGGCCGCGCTGCGGGTTCAGAGGGATTTATTGGGTGCCCCTTGAGCCCTCCAGGAGGGACATACCCTAAATTTCTGCCCAGGGTGTCAGCATACTTACACTGCACCCCCTATACTGTACCCAAAACCCAGATGCAAAATTTCGAGCCCTATGCCCTAAGCCAACAAAGACCCTAAACCCACACCTCAAGTTCATCAGGCTTGACAAAGATCACGAGGCCATCCACAAGCAGATCCAGATCCAGGCCGGCCTTAGGGTTGTTCAAGAGTTTCTGTAATGTTATCGGGGTTTGTCTAGGGATTCATAGGATACTTCGCAAGTATGTATGCTGTGTTGCTAGCTGATATCGATTAAATGATAGGGTGTTCACGAGTTTTACGGAGCCTCGTACTCATACGGTTTGTTTAAGGGTTGCTACAGGGGCGGGACATAACTGGTAATACCACGGAATTTCGTTAGGTTCCCGATTATAGTTAGCTGAAGCGTCAAGTCAGTGCTGCTGCATCAAGCATCTCGGCAGAACCTCGCTGGATATGAGACTAGCCTTGCCAACTATGCTAGACGTGACCCAAACCCTACAGCCGTAAAGCCTCATAATTCTAAGTGAAACAGTGCTGAACCATACATGGTTATGTTGAGACAACAAATCAAAACTGCAATGACTCAAAAGCACCACGCGAAAATCAAGGTCCAAGCCGATGGCTCTCTCGCGTCCATGGCTGCAGCACAGGCGCAGCTTGCCAATTCGGAGGCTTTAGGCATTCTTTTTGACTTTGGTTCAGGGGATTGGTCAGTTGTTTGTGGTTCTGCTGCTCAGAATCTGACCCACTTGTCAGAGATACAAGCAGGGATACTACGCATGCAGACCTGGCGCATAAGATAATCCGAAACGCTATTCAACTCAGCTCGATCTCTCGATTGTGATTTAGGCTAAAGGCTGTGAGCCCAGATCGGAGCAGATTACAACATTTCTCGGGCAAAGCTGGATGGAGAAGCATGTCGCAGATTCACAGGCCGCTAATCTAGGAGCCTTAATATTACTAGTAATTAGAATAGGGTTTTGGGTGTGTGTGTATATATATATATATATTATATTATATATATATATATGTATATATATTATGCTATAGCTATTATGAGGAACCCCCAAAATACTAAATTATTAAGGCCCCTACATTACTGTCACCGAAGACTCTGAAACCCCAGACCTAAACCCCAGATCCGTACCCCGAGACCTCAGGAGGGTGCCTCAAAAACTCAGCAGGATGTCCGCAAAGCGCGGTAGCGGTTTAGGGTTCAGGGTTTAGGGGTTTAGGGGTTTAGGGGTTAGGGGTTTAGGTGTTTAGGGTTTAGGGTTGAGGGTTGAAGGTTTAGGGGTTTAGGGTTTAGTCTTGATATTGAATATCGCAATCCTTTGATGTCATCTGAGCATGATGTATTGTTGAGAAATTTAGGCCGAGGGTTCATCCGTCATCACCCTCGCTAACATCATCTCGGTCTGTCATCGAAACAATCATGGTCTTGGTCCAATCATGATCATGGTCGTGATCATGATGCTGATGCCCATCATCGCCATGATTTTCCTCCTCCTTGTCACCTTCGTCTCCATAGCACACACTGTTGAACCCGATTCCTACAATTCAAGTTCCTGAACCCCACAATTTAAGGCCCAAGTCCTAAACATAAGCCTAAAGATTTAAACCAACAGGGCTCTGCCAGCGGGTCATATGTGTGCCAGACCTTCAGAGACAGCCCCAGTACCCAATTACTTGTATCATGGCCATCCACACTACTATACTGTACTATAATCACGACAAGGAACACCCCCAAAATAGTATAGGTACTTATTAGGGCCAGTATGTGTCATGGGTTTACCGATGACGTTTGCAAGAGCGGCGCAGAGACAGTAGCCTTCTAGTTTGGTGGTTGGCCTCCTTCTAGGGTTTACGGTTTAGGGGTTTAGGGTCTAGGGGTTTAGGGTTTTTGGGGTTTAGGTTTTTTTAGGGGTTTAGGGTTTAAAGGGACCCCTCCCAGGTGATGCGCCGGCAGAAGGCGTCAGCCGTGGGTGCAGTAATTCGCTCTCGGGTTTAGACAGAAGGGCTGGGGTTTAGGAGTCTTTTAGATTTATGGATCTAGAGGGTCAGAGTCTAAGACTCGCAAGATTGGCGAACCCTTCCTTGCTACGGTTCAGGGGGCTTCAGGTTTCGAAACAAAGGCATCTTGCAGCAAGGCTAAGATGCTGTCAGCAGTAGGATGCAGTCGTCAGGTTAGCAGCACCCTGCTCTCATGCTTATCCTCAAATCCTAAGATTCTAAGATCCGTAATGGCCGTAACGGTTAAGGATAAGGCCGCCACTCAACTCAAGCATAGATCAGGGACATCCGGGGGATCCATTTCTTGGCAATGCTCTTGTCGTCCCCCTGGCTTTCCCACTTCTTCATTACTGGCCGCTATGTTCTGCTTTTTCACCCTGCTGGCGACCCTGGACCGAGTCGGGCTATTATGTTACCTACTTTTGCTTAGGTATTGCACTGCTCACTACTGCTTGGATTACTTCTCTTGTGTGTGGTGACAAACGATCTCGGCCTTCGCAGAATTAGTGTTCGTGCGATTGTCAGGCATTGTTTATGCTTCCGTCTTACCATTCACTTTGCCGCTGAAATGAGTAGCAACTTCAATTGATGTAGAAAAGTCAGGACGGCAAGATTGCCGTGATTGTCTCTTCCTCATCTGCTCTCCCGCTCTCTCGTTCTCTCTCTCTCTCTATCTCTGTCTAGTTTCATGTTGATTATTATAACAACGTGATCATGGTGGATTCCTGGCTACCAAGGCTGAGTGGTTCGTCCCTGAAGCTGCCACTCCTAGCCTCTAGCCTCCGAATACGTAGCCGCAAAACCAAAACCCGTATTACCGAGCCCGTAAGTCTGATCCCAAGTCCCTTTTGCAGGGCCAGCTTTTGACATCGACCTCGGATGTCAGCAATCGTGGCGGCGCCCGGGTAGTGTTGCACCAACAGTACTACTCTTGCTATACTTCATGTCTTTGATTACGCTTTTGTCTATTTGATTTCGTTCTTTACTTCAAAGAAGAGCCGGATAGTCTGCTACCAGCACATGAGATCTTTGGAGCTCAGGGGTTGCTGGAGTTCGGTAGATGCATGAATTTTAGCACAGACCCTGCAGAAACCCGGAAGTTGCTGAGCTCTTGGGGGCTTTAACATCCTCGAGACCCCTAAACCCCGCACCGCCTTTCTATTCAGGATTCAGGGGATCCAGGGATTTGCGGGTATGATCCGCGCCAGTGGATTCTGGTTCGCTCCTGTGGGATTTGGCGCCGCCGCGGAACTTGTTGGGTTCAGGGTTTAGGGTTTCGAGGGTTATATATATATATACATACATACATATCTACTTATCCTTCCATGATATATACGTACATACATATATATTATATATACATATACATATATATATATATATATATATGTATGTGTGTCGGTATGTATGTAAATACACGTATTCTAGTATGAAGGCATGATTGTCTGGCTCCAAAATCTGATGTTAGTCGGGCTCGTTAGGGTATGCCACGAAAACCTCAAACTGTCACGGCCTGTATATTACGTTTTGTGACGGCGTCAAGGGAACAAGGGCACCATTTTCCAGATCTTCCTACGTAGGCGTCTGCGGACATGGGGAGTTGATGCTACAGCCCTAAACACTACACCCTAAAGCTTTAAACCCTCAAGCCCGGAAGCAATAAATCCTGAATCCAAAACCCAAATCAAAAATCCTAAAGCCTAAATCCACAAAATTTAAATCCAAAGCCCTAAAGCCTAAAGCCCTAAAGCATCCTAAAGCCTGAAACCGTCTCAGGCTCTGCGCCAGAGCTCGGGCATGCAGAGAAGGATCCGATTTCGAAGCCTGAAAGTCCCAGACACTGAACTCTGGGGTCGCGAAGGTGTAGAGTTTAGGGTTTAGGGTTTAGGGTTTAGGGTTTGTGGTTGCGGCTTTAATTTAAGGTTTAGGTTTAGGGTGTGGGGTTCGGGGCTTTGTGCTTTAAGTTTTGGGGTTTTGGGTTTAAGAGGATTTCAGGTCATAGGGGCTGTGGTGGTTCAGGGCCGCATGGCCGGGCCTGCAGTCAACTGGACATGGGCTTACGGAGGTACGAAGGTGTAGGGTTTAGGGGTTTAGAGTGTAGGGGTTTAGGGTTTAGGGGTTTAGGGTGTAGGGGTTTAGGGTGTAGGGGTTTAGGTTTTTAGGGTTTAGGGTTTTAGGGTTTAGGGCTAAAGAGTGTGATTCTATATGCTTAGGGTTCATTCAAAGTTGCGTAAGCCTGAGGACAGCATTCCCGAAGGGAGGGGTGAACTGTCAGTTCGGCCCAATCATGTTTTGCGGTTGGGGATAAGCTGTGGCAGGAAGCCCTATGTAAGCAAAAATCCTGTGCAATCCAGACCTTACCAGCAACGGGGAAGATCCCGCCAACCTCAAGAATTCAAAGCCCAAGCCCTTATCGTGAGATTCGGGTTTGCGGATTAGGGATTACACACAGGCTCCATTGTAGTTCCTCTTTGTGGCTTATATTCAGGATCCTATAAGGTCATCCCAAACAGGAACTACAAGGGAGCCTCTGGGTAGGCTCTGAATCAAAATCAACTTCTACGACCTGGTGCACTATCGTAGCAGAAGCACAAAGCTCCATGCAGCCGTGCGAAGCCCGCCATTTAGGGTTTAGGGTTTAGGGGTTTAGGGTTCAGGGGTTTTGGGTTCACGGGTTTAGGGTTTAGGGTTTAGGCGTCCATGCGCTGTCGCTTCACAGCCACTGAACGGCTGCGGGAAAGCCAAGTAACCTTCATACCACAGAAGCCAGAATCTCATATTTACAAGTACGCACTAAACCCTAAACCCTAAACCCTAGACCCTAAACCCTAAACCCTAAACCCTAGACCCTAAACCCTAGTCCCTAAACCCCAAACCCCAAACCCTAAACCCCAAACCCTAACCCTTCGGGTTTCTTTCCTGTTGTAGTTGTAGATATGACGATCGACCCCCCAAGCCCTACTCTGGGCCTAAGCTCCCACAGTCTCTGCTACGAAGTCGCGAGGACAAAGCCTCGGTAAATGAGACAAACATCCTGGGCCCTCTCGCCGAAAGCTCAGGATTCAGGGCTCAGGGTTTAGGGTGTGAGGGGTTTAGGATCATTTTGGGCTTTAGGGGTTTACGGATTCGGGTTTAGGGTTTAGGGTTTAGGTTTTAGGGTTCAGGGTTTGATTCGGGGTTAGGATGGTTTAGGGTTTAGGGTTTTTAAGAGTCAGACGCGGGAGCAGGAACGAAGATCCTTCTTAGGTGCAGGACTCTGTGAGTCGAGGCCCACAGGACGAGGACGTAATGTAGGGGCATCAATAGTTACCTATATTACTTTCGGTGATAATTTTCGTATGATGGGCCCCCAAACCCGATCCTAATGATTAAGGCCCCTATGTTAGTTTACGCAAGGATTTGAGAGCTGCCGTGTGGAGTGCTTGAGGTGTGTTTGACTTCTAAAGCTATCCAGTAGCAAATGTTGACCCTAAATCCTAAGCCCCGGACCCTAAATCCTAAACCCTAGACCCTAAACCCTAGCCCTAGACCCTAAACCTTAAACCCTAAACCCTAAACCCTAGACCCTAAACTTTAAACCCTAAACCCTAGACCCGAAGCCCTAAACCTTAAACTCCAAACCCTAAGCCCTAAACCCTAGACCCTAGATCCTA